TCTCAATAGAGTGTATGTGCTCTAAACCGTGCAGATCCTTTCAGGCCTTTAGTGCCGGGTTCAATTCCGTTGCTGACCTCCTTGTGGTTTGACTGGAGGGCTAAAATGCAAGTTTACACTAGCACACTTTTAAGTCGTTAGTATTAAGTCCCGTGTGATACTGCATACGGGCTGTCTCTTATACACATCTAGATGTGTATAAGAGACAGATTCAGATATATTTGTTGAACAGGCTTATTTTTGTATGTCCAAAATATTTGTATATATGACTTGTGATAATTATAAGTTGATATTTATAAAGCTGGGCACTCGTACGACCGTCGGTCGACGAATCCAACTCCCTGTAGGCGCGTAGACGACGCGACGCCGTCTGCTGATGGTCGGTGAAAATCTGAACGGATCGTTTATCATTAAAAGGAATGCGTTTCGCGCGCGTCGTGGCGTTGCATTTTGCATATAATCGCGTCGGCCGATGACCGTCAGTTTTCACCTTCCAAGAGAATATACCTACCTGTTGAAGTTGCAGATAGTGAGGGCGGGAAACTCCAGTTCATCGACAAACGTCAGGTTGATTTCTGTGTTTACGTTGAACAACAAATACTCTTGAATGCGTAGACTGATTTGCCACACACATAAACTCAATCCAGCCATGAAAATCAATACCCAGAGTAGTTTAAAGATGAACCGTTTACTTGTGGCAATGTATTGCAGCCCATGGAGTGTTGTACTTGTTGCAAACTCGCTTTCTAAACTTATTTTCTCGTCAGCTGCCATCGTCTTTCCAGAGCGCACTTTACAACAGTAGTCTCTTACATTTAAACAAAATCAGAGAACATGATCATTCATGAAAAGGAACGCAAAATATTTGGGTAAATATGACGCATGCGTGCTCATGCAGCAGAATACAAATATAAACAATACCGGTAACACTACAAATTCATTCTAAAGTCTTTCTTCCCACGCAACAAGATGCATCGCTCTTGAAATCATAGTTGTTTGGTTTACCGTTGGAAATCCAAAAATATACATATAATATTGAAAATTGAATGCGATGTTTTTAAAATGATCAGTCAGTATTTTACGAAATGAATCCTTTCGGCGGTAAGCCCGCCCCTTGGATATTGTTGTGTGTATGTGCTCTAAACCGTGCAGATCCTTTCAGGCCTTTAGTGCCGGGTTCAATTCCGTTGCTGACCTCCTTGTGGTTTGACTGGAGGGCTAAAATGCAAGTTTACACTAGCACAATTTTAAGTCGTTAGTATTAAGTCCCGTGTGATACTGCATACGGGACTATACATTGCGTTTTGAAGCACGTATAAAATATTATCGTTTGGGGAAAAAGAATATCAGAGGATTTACTTTCGGGAGGATCCAACTGGAAATAACTTTAATGCATCATTTTTAACCTATTTCACCAAAAATAAACATCGTATATGAATCATTTATAATAATATCGGGATAATTATTAGATAACATTAAAAGAAATGTCTTGTCTTGCGCGATACTACATAAACCGCCTTAATTAAGCTATATACATTACCGAACTATACATTACATATTATTAGAATTTAATTTATTCTACCAAAGAATTGTAAACAATAATTAGATTTTTGGAATTTCCTTTGTGTAGGCCTAGGTAATGTTTTTTCGTGCTTGTTATTATTACTGTATGTAAACTCCCAGGATTGTCCTCTGCGTTTCAAATGAGCTTTTTATACCTAATAAATAAAAAATTAAATAAATAAATAAAATTTGTTGATTTCAACTTCATATTTTATATTTTAAATATGTATATATATACATATATAGGCCTGTATATATATATATATATACATATATATATATATATATGTATACATATATATATATGTATATATGGGTTATACTAAAACTTTCAAAGGCATACATCTGTATTAATTGCTACGAAAGCATATTCTGCTTTTTTACCATGAATGGCATTCCAGTTCGATCTACCAAGGTTTGCTGCCGAAATAGTCATAGTATCAATCTTAATTATGGTATCTATTTAGTGCCTATTTATTCATATACTCAGAAGTTAAGCTTTGTCCTGTTATATCTAACATATGCAGAGTTGTGGAAATATCGATGTTATCATTAAATACAAGTGGCTAGAATCATGTACCGTATCATAAAAAAAATTGCAAGTCTAATGAAACAATTAATGTTATAATTTGGAGATCAACCAAACAACAAAGACTTTTGAATACTTGCATCGATCCCTGATTCCAGTTAATGCGTCAAGCTAGTGCTTTTCCAGCCGTACGCACCAACAAATATGCTGAATGAGAATTATTACCTAACCTCCACTTGGATCTAAATTCACCTCGAATTCGGTTATTCCATCTGCATATAACGTACTACAGTACAAGATTCCAGAATTAAGGCAATTGTGTTTACATTGTATAGGTCTACCTTAACAAATAATGAAGCAAAGCGGTTTTGAATTGAGTTTAAATCAGGCCTATGTTTTGGAAACTCTTATCCATTAGCAGCAAGAATCCAATAGAACTACTAGATATAAATATGTAACGGAACATTACTTACTTTGATAAGAAACTGCTATTCTTTTTAACAATTCTAGCTTCAATCGATACGTTCAATACGTAGTGATTACAATCATATTATTCAGCTAAACGTGTCTTTGATCGACAAGCAAGTGTCCTGTCGTTATTTTATGAGCAATTAATATTGTGCAGGCCGCTATGTATGGTGTGTTCATAGTTCAAATACATAATATAATTATATTGATAATCAGTATGTATACGTGCCTATACGATTCTCTCTTATTGGCTATATATAATTATATTGATAATCAGTATGTATACACGCCTACACGATTCTCTCTTATTGGCTATCTGTGCTTGTTGGTTGAGGTCGTTCGGTCCCAAGCCAGTATTTGTTGTAGATGTGTTAGAAAAAAAAGTTAGTAGGGAGATCAACAATAATACACTACCCATCTTAAAAGTCAGAATACGATTTTATCGTTAAGTAGATTTAATTATAACACTTAGACAGCAGACGGAGAAACAGAATTTTATTTGCATGTCCACGCGCTCACGGGTATGTGAGATTTAATTATTCAACCTAGGAAACAATGATAGTAATCGTAAGATCATAACATACATCCGAACTGTTCTGTGCATCTGTTTCATTAACTACTTCTTCACCAGACTGATCATGCGTTGTTATTTATCAGAAGTGCAGATATTTGGCAGAGACCAATGCACATTTACAATTGGTCGGGGACAGCTTAAGCAAATTTTACTATAAAACTCTGTCAACACAATCAAATTGTCTTTAACATAAAACTGTTGCTTGCCCATATATATGCCATTCACATCTTTAACCATAATTTTTAAGAGAGCGTTTTAGTATAAATACTTTATAATTAATAATAAGAAAATAATTATAATAATGTTTAAAAAAATACATAAAATTTTATTGGGCAATTTTAGGTTAGGATTTATGCTTGTTGTAGAGTTTTGTCTTCATCTTTTAGTTGTTATTGTATATTCTTGATGTATTTTTGCTTGTGGTCAAGTGTTAAATTCATTCTTGTTGTTTTTGTCCTGCCAAGGAAAATAACTTTCATGAGATTTCTATTTTAAACTCATGACGAATAAAGTGATCTAGTCTATGTCTATGTCTATAGTCATGATGTGCCAATATATGGTCATTATATGATGTCACTTGTTTTTGTCGAATGAAATTTGATAGTCTTGACAGGGGTTAATTCACTGAGATTCACTGCCACTACAATAATATTTTTAGAAAAATCATTATCACACAATAAACAATGATAATAATAATAAACAATGATAATAATAATAATAATAATAATAATAATAATAATAATAATAATAATAATGATAATAATAATAATAATAATAATAATAATAATAATAATAATAATAATAATAATAATAATAATAATAATCGTCGTCGTCGTCATCGTCATCGTCATCGTCATCATCATCATCATCCATCATCATCATCATCATCCATCATCACCATCATCATCTATATTATAAGTTAAGTAAGTCCTTAATGTTTGTGCCGATTTGTCGTCCAGACGCGTGCAAAGCTCTCGAAGAAATATATCGTTTATATATATATTTTTTTTTTTATATCATTTTTTTTCAATGTCTTATTATTACTGGCATATTTTGTGTTTCTATTTATGTCCAATAAAATATCATAAAATTTAAAAAAAACCACAATTTTAGGAATCTGCAAAATATTGGACGGGGACTTGTCACACTACAAAAGCAACACATGTGAGAATTCATTATTCAAATTGCATTCGTACAGTACGGTAAAAGGAGCAGCGGAGTATTCATATGTGGTAGAGGTAAATGGAACGTACCATTTCAGTGTGTGCGGCTGATACAAACGCGTATATGTTCACTAAATATAATGTAATAAAATACATTATCAACTGACTTTGTTAATCATTAAAATAAGTCAATATGTGACGAATAAGGAATGTCTACAGACTACATAAATCACAATATTTTAGCATGTATTGTTAGCATGTGTTGTATAATGCACTAGTTACTATTTCTTTAAAAGTAGGCATGGTAGTATCTTACCCGCCTTATAAACAAAATCATGTTCTTAATTTAAAAGGTAGGCCTAATTTGAATTTGATTTGCAAAGGTCTTTGTAAAATTACAGTTAAAGACGATGCAGTATTTAATATTATGCTTTAGAATATTCTGTTATGGCAATACTTGCAGCATTTGATCATAGAGAAAATAGAACAGATTTCATTTATATTTATTTCAAAGTGTGTGGGTTAAATAAAATTTAGTGAATGATAATTTTCTTGATAGTTTTGAATTTAAAAAAACGTTTTACCTAAAAGAGGGGCCTCAATGTGTAATGATGTTGAAAGAATATGTTTGTAATAAATAAAGCTAGCCATAAGGAAAATGCTTATATTCAGTTTAAAAAAAACGAATGTGGCCATATATAACATAAGAGCATTAAA